CACAGTTTTTATGGTTAATCTGGCAACTAATAAAGCATCAGCTGATTTTGCATCGATGCCTTTTTCGTAAACTCTCGCATCGCTCAATTGAAATCTGAGTTCTGGCAACAGTGATCGGCGCGTTCAAAAACGAGAGAGATGTCTGCTGAGAGATGTCTGCTAGGGTAACTTTGGTAGCAAACAGTGCACTACTACCGTACTGTACTAGGTTCCATATTCAATCATCAGATATTGTTAACAGGTTAAAGTAGACTTCTCTTATGAAATAATGTCTATATTTTAATAACAAGTGTGGTAACGTACCACACAGATGCTGATACAGTGATAGCAGAAACAACCTTTGGTATCGTGCAATTCTTATTGGGTTTCTTTATCTGACTTGAACTTCTCCAAGATTTGCATCAACCAATTTTCTACAATATTTCATTCCCTTGGATATTGCTTGGACCCCGGCATACGTGTTTTCGAATGAATTCTCTCTTCATTTGAAAATGGCGACAATTTTTTACGAATGCATGAGTGGAATATTCAGTTCATCATGTTATTTTGTGATCTATGGATTCTTTGTTTACGTCACAATTCCGCTGATTTTCAAGATTTATCCAAAAATCGTCTTTGAAGGATTATTTCTCAACAGAGTCTGCCCACCTGTATGGTTACTGAAGCTGAACAAACCAGACAAAGTAAGACTTTCTACAAGACGTTTGTATGAGTGAGTGCTTCTGAATGAGTGCCCATAACTTTGCTCAGAGATGAGTCTCCTTATTTGGGTGTGTGCAAGTAATTTTGCTCAGAGATGAGTCTTCTTTACTTCTGAGTGAGCACCCGTAACTTTGCTCTGAAATGAGTCTTCTTTACTTCTGAGTGGGTGCCTGAAACTTTGCTCAGAGATGAGTCTCCTTTACTTCTGAGTGAGTACCCGTAACTTTGCTCAGAGAAAAGTCTCCTTCACTTTTGAGTGAGTACCCGTAATTTTGCTCAGAGATAAGTCTTCTTTATTTCTGAGTGACTATATCTGTAACTTAGCTCAGAGATGAGTCTCTTTTACTTTTGAGTACCTGTAACATTGCTCAGAGATGGAGTCTTCTGTACTTATGACTATGAGTACCTGTAACATTGCTCAGAGACGAGTCTCTTTTACTTCTGAGTGAATGCGTTTTCTCAGAGATAAGTCTCCTTTGCTTCTAAGTGAGGGCCCGTAACCCAGTCTGGATTTCATGGCCTTTTCGAACGAGAAATCGGGCGTGCAATCAGAAATTTCCGCGTGCAAATAGGAATTTCTGGCGTGCAATTATAGCTCACGGCGTGCAAAACAACTGCGCCCGCTAAACTGATTTCGAACTAAGATAACTCTCAATACATCCGCGTAAAAATAAGTTGGATCATAGCAAAAATGGACGTTTGACCTTTGACCCCCAAAACATCATTTCTATATTTTGTCACTAATTTTGAGAGTGTTTGTGCGACTTTAGATACCGGTACTGTTCAGTACATCCGTGTAAAATTATTGTATTAAAAATACGCTGAATCAGAGCCATAACTGGCCAGCGTCGGTGAGGAGGCGATTTTTCTCACGGGATTCCTATCATTCAACACGATATGGTGATTTTTGCTTTGCATTTTTCGATCAGGCCAAATCTTGCAAGCAAGTATTAGTCGACAATTGTAAAGTTATAATTTTTTGGCATCTTTATATTACTAGATTATTGATTTAAAAACTATTTAAACCGATTTACATTGGTGAGCAATTGCAAATTTTTGGCGTGCAAAATTGAATTCGCTCGCGTGCATTTTTGTGGAGCGCTAGCGCCCTCGGGCGTGCATCTGCCATGGAATCCAGTCTGGCCCGTAACTTTGTTCAGATATTAGTCTCTTTTACTTCTGAGTAAGTGACCTTAATAACTCCGATCAGTAATATGTCCCTTCACTTATGAGTAAATGCACTAAACCTTGCTTCAACCAGATCCCCTTATTATAGTGATCAATTCCTAACTCTTAAATTTTCTTCTTTTACTTCAGGCCTACAATCTTAAAGAGAGCAAGAACTGCTATGTGAGGTCTTCGAGTGGAAGTACTTTAGGCGTTTGGCATATTCCGCCAGTCACTCAGTACGATACTCCAGAGGTCAAATCAGGGTCATTACAAGACGCTGAGAAAATCATCATTTATTGCCATGGCAACTCGTTTCATCGTGGTTTCAAGCATCGAAGAGATTTATATTCAGAGCTGCAGAAATCAGGTATGAATAATATGGTCGAATTCTTTTTGTCAAACTCAAAGGTACTCGGAGCCGCAACATTTACTCTAATGTCAGTGGCTATTAAAACTACCGAAAACCACTTTATGTCTCCGACTTTCATTGAATCCCCACGGCTTCTAACAAAAAACGGCTGTTGCCACTTTGATTCATGGGAGCCAGAGCTCCGAAAACAGAGAGTCGCATGCTGCTGATCGCTGGTCTACCCTGACTAATTGTGAGACAGCGTTGGTAAATTAGTTGAGCTAGAATATTGCATCATAAGTGGTTTTTCGATAGTTCTAATAGTATCTGACATTAGAGTACACGGTTTTTAATCCGCCAAGCGTGACGGCTGACTGTGAAAATTCTTGCGACTGAAAACTCGGAAGTATTTTGAGGTTACGGTATCGAAAACGTCAAAGGTAAAGGACTGCCTCGCTCTGGTCCACGTGTCCATATATTTGAGCGTTGCTCTCTTGTTGTATCAATCTGCTCATTCACACAAATAAAATCTTTTTCATTTTCACCAAGGATTCCACATCATAGCTTTTGACTACAGTGGATTTGCGGACTCTACCGGTCAGCCGAGTCCAACAAGAGTCGTGGAAGATGCAATTAGCGTGTATAAGTGGACGGTCAAGCAGGTTGGATTATGTTTTATCATATTTGTCACTGCTTAATCATATGGCGAATATCAGCAAAGCAGAGGTATACCATATATAAATTGTATATAAGCACAGTTTAAACTAAAAAACAAAGTTCCCAAACTAAAGGGTCGGCTTATATGCGCCTCACTCTAATCACACTAAATTTCGGCTTCATAAGAGCATAACCCTGATCGTGCGGGGGTCAACTTATACATTCATAACACAGTTGCCTGTCAATAGGGAATTCCCCTTTATGTTATTCCCCTGATTACCGAGTTATAAAAATCGAATCAGTAATTGTCAAATTTCTGACACTTAATGTATTTAATCACTCAGCTCCAGAAAGAAGATGTGACAATCGTGCTCTGGGGTCATTCACTCGGCACTTACATCAGCACGAGGGCGCTATCGCTCATGTACGACCAGAAAGACGGCACTCGACTCCCTGACTGTCTGATACTTGAAGCTCCGTTCACGAATACATATGATGCCGCAGACTGCTTCCCACTATCTAAGGTGAAATTTATATTTTGTTTCATTTCAGTACTCCCGTAGCATGTGAACCAAGATGGCGGACATCTGAACGAAGTATGTGTACCAGGTTAGGTTTAGGCAATGATTTCAGGTACAAATACTACAAAGTCACTTGGCTAGTCCCCGAACTCGTAATAGAACTAAAATAAGGAAAATTGGAATAAAATTATGGACTAACCCTAACCTGGTACACATACTACGTTCTGGTGTCCGACATCTTGGTACACATACTACGGGAGTATGTTCATTTCAATGATGTGATATAGTATTATGTGATGCTTATTAACGCTTTTTTCACATGCAAGGCAAGGATATACTATCTTTTGGAAGGGCGGAAATCTTTCCAGTTTGGTCCTTGTTAACAGAATTCTGTTAATTTTTGCGAACACTTTTTAACTAGTTGCTGATCACTCTTTGGGGACCTCTGTACTATGCCATTGTGATAGTGCGTCAAGACTTTTGAATTGAATGACATCTAAAATTTGTATTTATTACATCTCTCTTCCAGTATTTCTATCTGCTCTATCCCTTCATGAGGTCTCAGGTTCACAAGAATATCAAACAATATGACGTAGAGCTCAGGACTGAGAAGTATCTGCCCACAATAAAGGCTCCTGTTATGATTTTACATGCTAAAGATGATCAGAGGTATGTAGGCAGAAATATTTGAAACTGCTTGCCAGTTGGTGTATCGTCCTAAGCGTAATTAACACGCTTACGTGGCGCTCCTCAAGAGTTCACAGGTTCAAAACATGTTTTTATGAGAATATGGCTTGCGGAACTGTTTACTGTCGTAAGGTGGTTCATGTAACCTCCATCATCAAGTTATGTCTCGTAAATTCATCATCATCATCATTCACAATATTTACCGGTACGGTCTTACAGTATGGTATTTAATATTTAATTTAAGTTTATTTTGACACCAGGGATGGCCAATTCGAATAAAGTATTCGAATGTATTCGAATATCTCGCCATTCGAATATCGGAATTCACGTTCATAAGAATATCGGATATTTGTGTGACGTCACACATTTTCGATGCCGCTTTTAAGACGTTTCCGTTGAATGAAAACATTCTCGTTAGAAACTTGCGCGTAATTGTTTTGATCACTTATCAGCGTAACGTGTTATTTAGGCCCGTAAACGCCTTTACGATTGTGTTATTTTCTCTAAAAAGAAAATTTTCAACAAATTTGTTCCACGATAACGATAACATTTATTTTATTTTTGTACGCGCACGGAATTGTGAATCTGGTAAATACGTTCATCGGGGGCGAGTTTCTAAAGACATCGCAACTTTTTGATTGAAAAGCGGCAATTTAAAATACTGAAAATAAAACCGTAAACAACATAATTTTTTTTGAGGCCCGCGACAAATTTAAAAAACGCTTTTCTAGGCAGTGAAAATCGCAAAATTTCGTGTGCCTCTGGCACACATTATGTTTGGTCGGTGTTTAGAAACATATCGTCACTAATTGAGGGCGGGATTTGCCTGATTATCCATTACTTTAAATTGCTGTCGAATATTTTCGTGTTAACACGATACAAGGTTTGAAACGCGACTTTTTCCCTGGTTGTGAGGATGTATAGAATATAATTAATCTAAAGTATATTCATTCAATTTTATTGTGATGAAATAAATTCTACTCTGAGCATTTCGATCGAGCGGAGTCACTGTTTACAAGTACATCTAAATATTTGCCGAATTCGCAAAATACGGATCTGAACATTATTTAATCGGGCAGTTTTCCACACGTTTTTATTCTTATGATCGCGGATTGCAATGGTATATAAGAGTGGTGAGGATTTTATTTTGTCGACGCAACCGCAGGTTAAATTGAAGACCATTAAATTAATAAGAGCAAGACATTTTAAATATGCCGTGTCGGTCACGAATTCATCACTTTGCACAACAGAAAAATATATATTCGTTGTTATATTATTTGTTGTAAAAGTCAACTCTTTTAACAGGTGGCATAATCGCAGCGATGAATATGTATTTTTAATTTACTGCTAAACTTTATATGTATATTCATTATATGAAATGAATTCTCTACACTTAACAGGATTTTATATAATTATTTGAGATTTTTCCAACGGCGATAACGAGTTGGCAAGATTGCAAAAATACATAATAAAATTATATACATCAGGCAGTTTATCTCGTAATTTTAGGTCACATATCGCCGTGGACCGAATAGTAATGTTTTTTTTGACTAAAAAAAAGCAACCGCGAGTTATGTTGGACACATTAAATTAATATATAAAGATATTTTAGAATCTCGTAGTTGTCCTGGATTGAATATTTTACGTAACAGAATGATGATTATACGCTGAAAAGACGGCTCTTTTAACGAGCACGGAATCGCGGTGGGTGTTACAGGCGGCAATGGGAATTTCCGAATTCGAAAATCCTGGCTGCGCGCTGGCAGTGGTGGTCATCTATTCTCTACTAATTTATTTCTAACTCCAAACACAACAATATGTTACACATAATAACAATATGGTTCACATAAATTAATATACAAATATACTGGTAGGTAGTAGGCTTAAATATTAGAATTTTTAAAGGCATAATGGATTTTCGATTGTTATTGCCTGTATTGCCAATAAATTTTATTACTCTCAGAAAATATACACAATTATCTCAATACAAGTAGTATTTTTGTCAATAGACTAGACTATTATCGTAATATCATGGTACCAATGACAGAAAGCGTCCTTGGCTATCTTTTCATATGGTCATTTGTACAGAGTGAATAATTTTAATAAACTGACTGTGTCACAAGTTGCTATTATTTTTTATTGATAGCTATAAACTATCAATTACTTTGTGTACATATACTGTTGGTTTGTGGCTTCATTCTGATATTTCTATTGAAGCTTATTTCCTAATTTACTGGGTTTTAATCAACTAAAATTTTCGATTTTAGAATGTATTCGGAATTCCAGATTCGAAAACATTATTTTAGAATGTATTCGGAATAGTTTAGTATTCGGAAATGGCCATCCCTGTTTGACACCTCAGCATAACAAGCGCTATAATGCCCTAATTGTCAGATTGATTAAAACAAAATAATTAACCGATTAGCTCCGTGCATCAAGTCCAAGGAGGGGGGAGGAGCGGTCGCCCCAATTTTCTTGTCCCCAAAAGTATAATAAAATGTCAGTCCATGCATTGGAAAACAAATAACTGGCTAAACAATCCCATAACCGACAAGGACTGGTGATCGAACGAGAGGCCGCGGTTCGCTATATGATAAAGCTGTCCTAGCGGCTTTTCTCTCCCCCGGGATAAATATGTAAATCCTACCCTCCACTCTCTATTGATATCTCATCAGAATTTTCCATGCTTGAAGCAAGCCAGGTTCTGTAAAAGGGTACTCCCGTAGTATGTGTACCAGGTTAGGGCACAATTTCATTCTGATTTTCTCACTTTAGTTCTATTACGTGTTCGGGGACTGTTTGTGTCAGCCAAGTAAATATATCCCCTGCCCATAGGTTTCAGTCCCTTTACACAACTTGATGTCAAGTAGATGAACAAAATTAGTTACCTCCATTTTGGTACACATACTTCTGGAGCGCTTCCCAAAGACACACTTATTCATGTCTTAGCCAGCATGGTCAACTTTGTTACACGTCTCTCAAGTCAAGTCAAACGATTTCCAATGACTCTGGCTTTGATTACAAGAAAACTGGTTGCCCTTTGACACATTTCTGGAGCGCCCTGTAAAAGCAATATTTGCATGGTGTTGATGCAACATTAATGCAAAGTTTAGTTGGTAGGCCCTATTAGCTTCGCTTCCTAATCGATTTGGATTCGCTTTCTTTTGAAATAAAAAAATCCAATTCTCAAACCAAAGTATTCCATTCCTTACAGAATCGACATTCATCTCGGTGAGACTCGGCGACATTCATCTCGGTGTACGAAAAGACGACCTCTGACCCCATGACAAAATCTCCTCACATTCGTTTCATTTGAATGCACAAGGATTACGGAGTGAAACACTGCACTGCTAAGCACCCTGAGATAAGGAAGTTAGTGCATGATTTCATGGCTGAGGTAGCAAAGGTCAAAGGTGATCAGGAACAAGGAAGTAAAAATAGATTTGAATTGATCGATATTTAATTTTTCTTTTTTTGCTGTTTAATTAGGCAATGAATATAATTGCTTTGGTCGAGTAGCAAAGATCAAAGGTTATCAGGAACAAAACTGATTAAAGATTTTATTTTTTTATTATTAACCTTTATTATGTTAATGAGACAAATAGAGCTAAATTGAACTTGCATTCCTGGAATTTAGGTAAACTCCCAGCATTGTTTTCTTCTGAAGAAATCTAATTATCAAATTTCTGACGCTTATTTAATTTTCCAGCTCCAGAAAGAAGACGTGACAATCGTGCTCTGGGGTCATTCACTCGGCTCGTACATCAGCACGACGGCGCTATCGCTCATGTACGACCAGAAAGATGACACTCGACTCCCAGACTGTCTGATACTTGAAGCTCCGTTCATGAATACATACGATGCCGCGGACTGCTTTCCATTGTCTAAGGTGAGATTTTTGTTTCATTTAGGTACTCCCGTAGTATGTGAACCAAGATGGCGGACATCTGAACGTATTATGTGTACCAGGTTAGAATTAGGCAATAAATTCAGATACATATATTACGGGTATCACTTGGCTAGTCTTTGAACTCCGAAACCGAAAGGAAAATTGGAATAAAATTATGGCACAACCCTAACCATGTATACATACTACGTTCTGGTGTCCGCCATCTTGGTTCACATACTGGGGAAGTACCTTAATTTCTATGATGTGATATAGTATTATACGATGCTTATCAACGCTTTTTCTTACTGTACAAAGCCCGGCATCAGTATCAACTGATATCTAACGATATGTAAGGATATACTATATACCGTATTTTCTCGACTATACGTCTATCACGCGGATAAGCCGACTCCCTAATAACTGCTTCGAAATAGTGAATTTATAAAAATTCGCATGTAAGCCGTTTCCACAAATCGTAACAGGGCACCCGCATCTATTACAGTCAATGATGTTCAATTCAAATATCGCGATTCGCTACCTTCTTGTATATGGCACACACATTCTAGCGCCGCTGTCCACATTTTGATTAAAACAATTTTCGATTATTATATTTTCTGTTTTATGGTAATGGAAGACAGCACTTTGCGGCACAACTAAATTACTGCCAACATGGAAGGAATTGAATCAGCGCCGACCTGAAGTACCAAACGTATAACATGAAGACATTTTTGATTGAAAATATTTTACAATCATTATTTTATATTAAGGAAGTCGAGATATCCTGAGCGGACACGGCAATAAATTTGGTTATTTTTCGTAAGTCTTCTCAAACATGATTTGTGTGAGCTTCATATATGGGCTGATATATTTTATAATGTATGCCAAAGTGTCTGCCGATTAATTAATTGACTTTGTATACCAGCTGTTATTTGTCTTAATCCTAAAAACAAAAACGTGGCCGGTGCAATGAAGCACTCCCTGCCCGATAACGGCACTTCAGAAAGAAAACGGCTACCACGAAATAAAGTCATTGATTTATGACCCTTCCGTTTTGCTGATTCAGGAAAAAACGGAAAACACAGCTGTTGCCTAACCCATGGACGTACAGCACAGTATTTATCACATCATATTCACAGGTTATTTCAACCTTTCAGTTACCGTAAATGGTTGTTCAAAATGATTGAAATTACAGTTTTATTGTTAAGAATTAATGCTGTGAGTATTATTCAACCTGAAACTTCTATCTGATTCTTACTTGTATCTTTCTTCATCAAGTTCATGTCTCTGAAATCCACCATCTAACATTTACAATATTTACCGGTACGGTATTACAGTACTGTAATTATTATAAGTTTCAACTCCTCAACATAACAAATACCATATTTGAAAGATTGATAAGAAACAAATAAATAAACGATTAGCAGCATGTCTAAGCATCTGGAAACAAATAACTGGCTAACTATACTCATACCCGACATGGACTGGTAATCATGGTTCGTCATATGATTAATAAGTTGTCTCAGCGGCTTTCTTCCCCCCCCGAGATAAATATGTAAATCCCATTCTCCGCTTTCTATTGATATCTCTTCAGAATTTCCCATGCTTAAAGCAAGCCAGGGTCTGTAAAATGATATTCTTGTATTGTGTGTACCAGGTTGGGCCATGATTTTATACCAATTTTTCTTATTTTAGTTCTATTACGAGTTCAGGAACTGTTTGTGTTAGCCAAGTGAATATAACCCCGCCTAAAATATAGATCACGTATTATTTGCACCTGAATATAATTGTGCCACTTGGTACACCGGCTGTTTGTTGTACATTAGCTGTTATGCTTGTTATTTGCAAATGAAATGTTTTGAGTCTCCAGTGACCAAATCTATTATTTGTGACTGGCCCACTGAGAAAAATAATTGCCCACCCCTGACTTAGAATATCATTTCATATTGGTCAAAGTAACTTAATTAATCATAGTCTATTATTATGTGTACCAGGTTAGGGTCAGGCCATAATTTCAGGTACAAATGCTATGGGATTCACTTGTCTAGTTCTCGAATTCGTAATAGAACTAAAATAAGGAAAATTGGAATAAAATTATGGCCTAACCCTTTCCTGGTACACATACTCCGGGAGTACCCTATTTTCCTGTGAAGTTACAAAGGACAACTACTGTTATTAACGCCCAGCATTATAACCGTTCATGTTCATTCACTCACTACACTGTGGGGTATCTATTGATTTTAAATCAAACTTAGCTTCCCCATTGTTCTGGAACTGTCCCAATTTTATTTATATCTCTCTATCGCAAACAGACCCAACATTTGAAACCAATATTTATGTGCATGCAATTGCGTTTCTTGTTATAGTTGTAAAATGCTTGTCTGAAGAAGTCTGACCTCGGTCAGACGAAACGTTACAGAAATATATTTGTGTTCGTGTGCAGCAAGACTTTTGAATTAAATAGAATAGCCATTTACACTCTTGCTACAGCATCCTTGCGTAATACTCATACGGATCCACCTGCGCAAAGGCGTAGAGAGCAAGGAAAGGTAGTTAGTTTCACGCAACCTCAACTGTTAGTCACTTCCCAAACTTCAAGCTGTGTTTTCAGAAATTTTTTAGGCTTTATTTCTATAATTAAATCTTTATTATTTGATTGTAGTTTATATTCTCATTCTTAACTGTGTATTTATTACTCAAGAATGGTGCCAATGGTCAGAATTAACAAGTTACAAATATGCTCGAAATAGAGTCGAATTACTCAACCAAAGTGGAAAGAGTAGTGATAGCAGAGTTGCAAGTTTGCTCAAATCAAAGTCCCAAACTCTCAACTTTAAAGCAGAAAGAGCACTGATAAAAGAGCCCCTAACACAAATATGGAGCGGTTCATGTGTAACTTGAAACAAGATATAGCAGTACGGTCAGAAAATAGTCATTGCCATATTTCAATTACTGCCTTGTTGCCACATTTCGGTATTCTTTTTTTAATATTGGGTCAAATTTTTTGGGCTACGTGAATTATTCCAACTCTTCACCCCATAACGTCAAAAGTTTGAGAACTTTTGGTTTAACATATGCTCTTTGTGCGACAGAGGCCATTTGTAACTCTTTTATCAGCACCTTGCTATAAAAGCACTGTATATGTTTAAATATGCAATTGTTTTATCATAATTGTTGATTTGATTTCAATTTTTTTATAACAATTCTACCTCATTTAATCCACTGAGACAAATAAACTTTGCATTACATTGCAGTATTATTTTCCGAGCTACTGATCTTATCCACCAAAAAAAAACTCAAGGGTGTTTTTGATGTTAAAGACTAACTTCGGAGCTAGGTTTCAGGGATGCCTGAAATGAATCGAATACATTCGTGATTCATTGTATTCGATTTAATAAATTCTTGATTTTAGAAATAATTTAGAATATTTTACTTGTAAATATCCTCTTCAGCATGCAATATTTTATGATGCACATAACTCACAGAAAAATATAGTTAACTTTTGAAAAAATATAATGGAGAATACTTATTGAATCAATGCTCATCTCAGTTACTCTGCATAACCAAATTTGAATTATATGAATTAACAATTGCCTTGAAGAATTTGTACTGTGAAACAGACCCATTTCATTATTGGTGGTAATCGAAGTCAAAGTACTTGTCATTGACAATTTAAGGAGGGCGTCCGTGTTGAGGGACAAGAACCTTCAATGTATAAACTACAAAAACTAAGGATGGATGAACATAAAATATGCAAAGAAGTTGTTGGCTCAGAAAACTAAAGATGAAATTGAAGCAGAGTTTCTATGCTTTTGTGGGGCGTGTAGATGTAACACTGTAGATATTGAAGATAAGTATTCTAGGCAAGTGGTCGGCAACCTTTTTTAAGTGACGAACCGGTAAAGCCTGGCGAACCCTCTTTATACAGAAAAACTAAGCTTATGTATTATAATTTACACGCAGTAGAAAAATATCAAAAACATGGGTGATGATATTCAATGAGAGATTTGCGTTTGTTTGCTTGTCATTTATTAACTGTTCCGAATTCGGAGACATGGTGGACAGTGATACATGTAACGGTTTCTTACGTTCAGCCTACTTTAGTTGTCAATATTGAAAAACGACCGCACATTAAGAAAAAGAGTATAGCAAGGATACTTTTCAACTCGTTATCATTTGAAATTTCAATCAAGTGCTCTATATAAGACAATCTCATAGTTCGAAAAAGTTTCGAAGGCTTCCTTTAAGAGCTCAGTATGGCAAACTGGACAAATTTCATTGCTGTGACTTATGGCTATAAATCCATATTGACAATACAGATTCTTCGCGGTAGATGACCCGCTATATCTACACTCCCAGTTTCGTTAGATATTGGGACGCAGTCATTCAAACATTGCATTATTGATGTTTGTTAAGCCATACCTGATTTTATCACGAGATGTGCTAACTTTATGATCATAAAGTATAGATTTAGCAAAGTCTAAATAGCGAGTTGGGTGCTGTTTTGCCTATAACACAAGTGGGGATGGCTATACTAAATTATTCACCTATGTCATTGCTAGCATGATTATCCCGTGCTCTTGTCACATATATTTAAGCTACTAATTACCCATTAAATAAAGGATGAGATTTCACACTTGTCGCAAGGGAGAAAAGGCGGCTTAATCATGTAGCGTACCACAGCTTCTCGTCTGGATGCATGTCCACTGTGTGCACATTGGTATGTCGGAAAAAAAAAGTCCTGGTTCTTATTAAAAAAATGCCGCATTGTCAAATGTCGCCGACACCTCGCAGAATCCCTTATCATGACCCCGACAGTAGGAATCTTTCTGCTCTTCTCCTAGGTATGCCAAAGAGAAATTTCATTCAATATTGCTAACTGAATACTATTGTAATTTTGTTCAATATGACAAAATCTACTCTAGATTTACGGTAACCCCCACAGGAAAGCATACTAGTCATAGAGTCTAATAACATTGAACAATCAGGGGAGACTTCAAGTATATTATACTTGGGTGTGGAATTTAACCAATAATACACTAACTCTGTCAACCATAGTTTACAAAAATAATAAATGAATGTGAAATAATGTGTCGCTCGGCCAGAAGAGCCGCAGCTAATTTGTTCCATAAATGAAGTCGACTTGTAACCGAACGAGAGGCCATGGTTTGTTATAAGATTAAGGGATAAATATGTAAAACCATGAACTCCAGGGTAATCAAACCTCTGTGAAAGTGAACAACAAAAATTTGGGCATATGCAGGCATTCTTCAATGGTCATGGCTTTTTAGGTTTCAGTTGGAAATCTTGACTTCGATCACCGCCATTAGGTGCATAAAACTCCAATAATTCAAGACTTCTACTTTAGTTGGACTACAGTACGTGGAATTTAAAACTGCGACTCCAGCTTTTTCATTAATATTTCCACATATGGAAGCTAACACTGAAGAAAATCCATAATCTTGTTAACCATGTGGCAAATATTTTGTGCGATTAATTAAGATTGAAACAAATTCCTGTGAAATATGTGGGATTGACCTTGTAAATGCAAGTGGTTTGGCCACAAGAATGTGTATTGTCGCCAGTGTGGACTCCCATATGCTTTCTCAAATTCATTAATCTTGCAAAACTCGTTCTACATATTCCA